CCCTGTAGTCACCCTCGTCGTTGTAGACGGTCACGTTTGGGCCGTTGTCGTCCCCGTTGGTGAAGGGGACGAAGGCAACTTCTGAGCATTATTGTCGTGTGGGCTAGCCATGATCAGAATGAAAGTTGAAAGTTGAAAGTTGCTTTGGTTCTTGAGTTTCTATTCTTGGATATGAGAAAGAACGGGGGAGCAAGGGGTTCCCACAGACGGGGCCACTGATCTTACCTGATAAAAAATGATCAGTAGCCTACCACGCATCGTGAGCTCATGTGTTCACCGACGTTATAGAGGATGATGGGATGCACCTGCAAGGTACTCCGATGCTTAAGTGAGTAACAGAGTTTAGAAAGAGCAAGTACATAGAGAATATGCATGGAAAATAAGATACGTGACCCTCTAGTGAAAGAGGGTATTTATAATGTGCCCCCAGCGTATGGCCAACAGTTACATTGCATTGGGCCAGATTGGCAAGCCCAACACAAGTAACTACTAGGGCTTACGTGGCGTAGGAAAGACCAGCACGTGGTCTTCGCCCTAGATCAACTGCCCAGTGATCTTCAGAAGGTGGGTTGACCAACTCTTTTGGAAGTGGGTAGTTTCCTGATGACGTGTTCCCGCGTGGGGGGCACGTGGAATCCTTGGGGGAAGCGCGTGGGATTCCCCGATTGGATAATGCTCTGGCCGACAGAGGTGCCTTGTTGGGGCACGTGCCCGATAGAGGAGGGTTGGGCCTTGTTGGACCTCATTAGGGTAGTATTGGGTTGGGCCTTCCCGGCTGAGGGGCGGGTCTCGGCCCAGTCCAGGACATTTTTTTCATTGGAAATTTATAATTTATACCATTGTTTTTAATTAACATTGTTTCTTATTTATGGAAATTTTCAGACTCGTCAGCCGCAAAAGTTATATAACCATGGAGGAGGATATTATCTTTGGAGAAGTCATAGGAGGCTTGGTTCCAGGATGTCCTTGCCGCCTCTAGTTTGAAGGACCTTTGTAAGATCGGTTACAGCGTGATCCACAACGTGATGTTGATGGGCTTTGCAGAGGGATGGCACCCTGAGACGTCCTCCTTCCATCTACCGCACGACGAGCTCACGATCATACTGGACGACATCTCTTGTCTGCTACATATACCGATCAGGGGTACCCTCCTCCGTCACGGTAGGATGATGAAGGAGGATGCAATAGAGATGTTGGTCGTGGAGCTTGGGGCTGATCCACTGGATGCGTTGGAAGAGGTGGATAAGACCAGAGGGGCTCATGTCAGGTTCTCCTTTCTCACCCGTAGATTTGGTGAGGCGCTCATTGCTGCAAGCCTGGAAGATGGTGATCTAGTTAAGGTTGAGATACACAGGCAGCGTGTGCTGAGATGTTATTTTCTATTTTTAGTCAACACTCAGTTGTTTATGGACACTTCCTTCACATATACGGATGTCGCTTACCTGAGGTACTTTTTGGATTCCACACGGATCCATGAGTATAACTGAAGGTGGTTACCCTGGCTTACATGTATTCGAGGCTGAGAGAGGGATACCTGTGAAAGACCAGGACTGTGGCAGGGAGCATGGCACTATTTGTGGTAACAATCTTATATCCTCTGACTTTTTTTTTTCATTTTTGTTCATTCTATATCCGAGATAATGCTTGATCCTGATGTTTTATGTTTTCATTTCAGGCTTGGATATTCCAGCACTTTCCCATGATCGCCAGGTGGAGGAGTGTGCCTGATTACACAGAGCAGATGTTGCATGCCCGTGCCTTTCTCTCGCTCAGGGGGAACTAGGCGGTTGACCCTTACAGAGTCTATCTCGATTGCCTGGCTGTTGAGGACATCTGGCACGACGTCTATGCTGGTTACCGTGTGACGTGCCCGTTTGACGATATCTCCTTATTATCATGATGGTTGGCATGCAGTTCGACCATCACTGCTCCACATTTGCCCAAGCGCGTCATGAGGCAGTTGAACTACACTTAGACTATTCCTAGACACCCAGCTATCTCCGCTCCTCTCGGCTTGACCTGTGTGTAGATAGAGGAGATCTATGCCGACTACTGGAGGCACATGGTACCTGACGAGGCTAGGGAGACTAGAGCGCTAACAGAATGGAGCTGCGTTGATGGCTACATCATGTCATTTTTCACCGTCTCACACCCCTACATGGTACCCACTATCGAAGGACCACTGCCCAGACCAGCTCATCAGGAGATCTTAGAGAAACAACAGTCTCAGTTGGACCACACTCAGGATGTCCTGCCTCACTTTCGTCAGATAGTGGAGATGGGGCGGGCGGACATTGTCGCTGGTTTCTTCCCTTAGGGGTCTGACCATATGCGTGTATTTGATGACGTCACTGCAGTGGCATCAAGGGTACTTATGTACCGCATACATCACGCTAGAACGGGTGGGATCAATGGCCAAGGATGCAGACCGGGCGGTCGAGGAAGCGGGAAAGGCAGACGAGACGGCAGAGGCATAGGCAGAGGAGGGGATGCAAATGTTGTCAAACACACACAGTAGTGACTGTGATGTTTTTTTGATGTACTATATTTTGATAATGATCATCACATATTACTTCTTATATATATATATATATATATATATATATATATATATATATATATATATATATATATATATATATATATATATATATATATATATATATATATATATATATATATATATATATATATATATAATTTTATTTTATTTACGGATGTATGTCATTTTACATTCATCTGCAACAGTTAACTTCCATCTGCGACCAACAAAAATTGATTTTTTTAAGAAACTTGCTCCGATAAGATTTCGGAGATGCTTCTCTGGAACTTTATCCGTAGAAGCATCTCCAGAAACATCCAGTGTAAAGAAAAAAAAGGGTGCGTCCGGATATGTATCTCTAGAAGCTGAGGACATAAAAGGAATTTCGTTGGTTGCCTAAGAATATCAAGGGGTGGATTAAGAAATTCTCTTAGATTAAACGTGTTGGCATGTCTTTGGCATCATCTAGGTTGGTCTTAAAGAAAAAATATGTTATGTACTTAGCTTAGGATAAGAAAAGTGAGTTGTTGAGAAACTTCTATTTCTAAGAAGTGCTATAAATTCCCAAAATGTTGGAGAGTAAATAGATTATTTAGCTAGTGATGAGAACTTAAATGTGAGATGAAGGGTTTTTAGTGATAATAATGTCATTCACATAGACTATTGCGATGAAAAAATATGTGAAAGTTACAAGAGTAAATAGAGAGGAATCTTGACAATAAAACCAAAAATCCTCAGTGTTGTGTAGCGTCTCTAAAACTATGAGCATTTTTGAGTCCATAAATAGACTTATTCAATTAGCACACTAAATGTGTGTCAAAACTGTTAAACTTAAAGGGTTATTGTATGAAGACTTCCTCTTGAAGAATTTCACTTAAGAAAGTATTATTAACATCTAGATAAGTAATGTGGCACTTCTTAGAGATAGCTAAAATGAGCACTACATGAATAGTAACACACATAACAACATGCAAGTTGTTGATTGAAACCGTTTGCAACCAACCTAGTCACGAGTAGTTTTTATTCTGAACACCCACTTATATCCAATAGATTGACAATCAAATGGTAAATTAAAGGCTTATTTAGTCCTGAAGTTCCTTAACTTAATTTCAGTTTTCACTTTGGTCTCTTATATAATAAACGTTACAATGTAATTCCTTAATAATTGTTCCGTTAAATAACTTGATTTATTCTGTTAGTTTTATTGTGAAAACATTAAGTATGCTGATGTGGCATGCCAACAAGGATTAAAGTTTATTTGTGACTCAACATATTGCAATTTATAAATTGTGTAACCTAATTTCATGTCCAATGCATTATTTTAACGTGAGGTTACTATTCATCATCTTCTTCCTCCTTCTTCATCCATATGTGAACATGTCAATAAACTTCAATAACAAAGCAAAATCAAACACCCAAAGTTATGAGTCATTTGGATCTGTTGTGATAAGAAAGAAAAGGATGAAGTGTTGGTGTGAAAAAGAATGTGTAATGCGTATTGTTACAGATTTAAATAGTGCCAATGTTGGGAAAAAGTTTGGGGGTTGTAAAAATTACAGAAATCAACTGGAGAAGGGATGCAATTTTTTCAAGTGGGTAGGAGATGAAGTTGTTGATGGAAGGGATTTGAATATTGAAAGGAAAAGGAAAAAAAATATTCAAGTTGAAGAATGAGGTCTTGAGCACAAGAGGAATGTTGAAAAATGTAATTTTATTTGGCATTATTATTTTAGGGTTTAATTTAGTTTCTGTAACAATGTATTTGAAATAGATCTGTGGATAATAGAACATGTAATTTGATGTTATGAATGTAAGAATGTTTGATTTTGCTTAAATGAAATGGGTTGAATGTTATAAATTTGTGTTGGATGTTTAAGCATTTATGTTATTGTATGATATTGTTTGTCTGTAATTTGGGTTGAATGTTATAAATATTGCTTTAACAAAATTTTTGTTTTATAACCTGTTATGGATTTATGATAACATATAGTTGAAAAAAATGTTTCTTTAACAAGTTTGTATGATATGATATTTCTTTAACAAGTTGAACAAAATATTTCTTTAACAAAACTGCTCTGTTATGGATGTATTGCTTTAATTGGTATGGTATGATATTATTTTATAACTGTTCTATTCTGCATTATAAAGAACAATTTGATGAATCATGTAAATAACAAGTTGATATTGCTTTAAAAAATGTTATGGATATTGCTTTAACAAAATATGTTGCACTGGTACAAAATATATTGCTTTAACAAAATATTCTGCAAAATATCACTGATACAAAAAGGCAATATAACAGCATGTGTTCTGGACACTGGAACAAAAATGGAAGTGATACAAAAGGGCATTGTTATTTTCCACCAATACAACAAAGCCTAAGTTAGTTGTTCATAAAAGCCTAAATGAAGTGTTCACATGACACTGAGTTGCACAAACATTAAAAATCAAAAGTGGATCAAGTTGCTTCAAGTTGAGTTGGTGCAGGAAGACTTGAATCAGACTGACTTGGTGCATAAAGACTTGCATCAGGCTGACTTAGTGCAGGAAGACTTGCATCAGGCTGAGATGCCTCAGGCTGAGTTGGACCAAACTGACTTGGTTCAGGTTGAGTGGTCTGATTTGGACCTGGATGTATGCAAATTTCTTTGTTATGCCCCATCATGTGGCATCTACTGCACTTGATGCCAAAATTAGCTCTTTTTAGCTGAGTTTCATCCCTTATGCTCTTTGAGGCATCTCTAGTCCTTTTCTTCTTTGGCCTCCTTGGTTGCCTTTTGATTGGTGGTGGTTGTAACTCAACATAACCTTTTTTCTTCCAAAGTGATTCCCCATTGATTAGAAAAATGACAGATGCATAACATGCTTCATACATTTGTTTCTTGTAGTACTCAGGCACATAACTTTCAATCTCGAATTTTATAGATTTCATGCAAGATATAGCATGACAGCATGGTAAACTTGTCAGCATCCATTTTCTGCAAGAACACATTTTGGTTGACAGATTCACAATGTATTTTCTCCATTATATGAGATGTGTCTCACCCCATAGTCGTACTCTCCTGCACGGCTTTTACATAGACAAGAACTCAGCCACACAACATAATCAAGAAATGTAAAACAAGCATTTAGATGAACAAATACCTCACAATCCAACTGTTTGTTTTTTTTCCAAATTCTTTTGCAATCTTTTTCTTGATATTGGGTAGAATATCACCTTCAAACTTGCAAATTTTTTTCTGTTTGAATCCCATCTTTGCATGAGATATACTCTGATTTCTTCAATCATTGTTATGATTGGTTTGGACCTAGCTGTCACAAACACCGAGTTGAAAGCCTCTGACATGTTATTCACTAGGGTATCACAAAAATAATTGGTTTTGAAGAAAGCCTTGGTCCAAAACCTAGCAGGTAACTTTATTAAATGCTTGAATGCTTCTACATTAATAGTCTTCATCTCCAACATTGCTTTTTCAAAAGCATTTGTGTAACTGGCTTGTAGCAACTTTCCACATTAACTCCTTGAGTTTAATTCCTGGGAATTTCTTCCTAAAATTGTTGTATAAATGCCTTCATTTACAACAATGATTAAGGTATATCAGTATGCAATAGTTATTAAGGTATATCGGTATGCAGTAGTTATTAAGGTATATACCTGACACAAAATCTTTGGTCCACTTGCGGCAACAGTTCATCTAGAGCTGGTAATAATCCTTATATATAAGTATGCATCAGGCATCAAATGGAACAAATCAATTATAGAAACGAACACAAATTAAATTAATTAATTAATTAAGTATCTTTTGTTGGTCACTTATAAAAGTGTAAATTTTTCACAACCTTGTACCTCTAAGATCAAATATTAGCAAATCAAGGAATCAACTCCACGAATCTCTGGTTTCTCCTTCTACAACAATAAATACAATTTGCATCATTTGGTCATTTGGATCCCTTCCAATTGCTGCAAGAATATGACCGCCATAATAACCTTTCAAGAAGCAGTCATCCAATCCTATTATAGGTCTGTACTTGAAAAAACTGTCCTTGCATGCCTATCCAATCCTATTATAGGTCATCATTGTTACAGTTCAGTCTCTCTTCTCCATCATTGTTATAGTTCAGCCCCTCATATCCATCATTGGTACAGTTCATCCCCTCATATCCATCATTGGTACAGTTCAGTCCTTCTTCTCCACCATTGTTACAGTTCAGTCCCTCATCTTCGTCACCTTGTTCAACTACAATGATCTCCTCATCATGCTCAATTTCAGTGGCCCCCTAACCATGTTCAATTTCAGTGATCCCCTTGTCTCCAACTTCTACATCAGGTAAAATATTTGTGGTCCCCTTGTCTCCAACTTCCACATTATGTAAAACATTTGTGGTCCCCTTGTCTCCAACTTCCACATCATGTACAACATTTGTGGTCCCCTTGTCATTTATTTATCCTCCCTCCACATCAACTTCCACATAATCTACCTCATCCATAACACTCTCAAAGTCAGTTTCCAACTTTTCAGTGTTGTCTCCTACATTCTCAACACAAGTGGTCCCCTCATTAATGTTCTCATCTAACTCAGTTTCAGTGGCACCTATTTAACACTATACTCAAGTGATAGTATTGGTTCCTCAATTACCTTAGGTTGTAGGATATGATGTATAAATATAAATGAACTTCCCCAATCAACATAATAATTGTATGCATCCTCCTAGTCCCATTGTCATCTTTCAACTCCACAATGCTATTACACTCCACTTGATCATAATACCAAAGGTTATCTATAGTTGGATAACCTAAATCCTTTAACCTACCTAACACTTCGAAGTAACTCCAAAAATCAGGCTCAACATCCCATGTTTCCTCTAACCCATTATAACCTAGTTTAGTTAACTCAACAAATTCACCCCCATGATGAACAACGCATTTAAAACGACTCTCCATGACCTAGATATAACGATTAGATAAAATCCTAAATGAGAACTAAAATAGATGAAGGGGAAGAATATAAAGTTTGCATCATTCGTACCTCAAAACAGATGATGGATCTTGTTCCTCTTTCACGCAGAATCAAACAATAGACAAACTCTATAATGAAGAACAACAAAAATGAAATTCAAAGCTAACGCTGATGAAAAACGCTAAATGAAAACTAAAATAAATGAAGGGGAAGAATATAAAGTTTGCATTATTCGTACCTCAAAACAGATGATGGACCTTGTTCCTTTTTCACTCAGAATCAAATAATACATAAACCCTAAAATGAAGAAGAACAAAAATGAGAGATTCCAAACTAAAGATGAAGAACAGTGAACGAACGAAAATGTATGATAACCATACCTTGACGAACGAAAATGAAGAGTGATGATAACCACACGTACGAAGATGAAGATGAATGCTAATGGTTGTTTCGTTAAGGTTTCCAGCAAAGAAATAAAATGAAACGTTGAAAATTCTAATGTTTTTTTAATTAAAATGTCAAACCATAAATCCATGTCACGTTAAGAAAGTCAGCTGAAATGTCACCCTAACAACAACTAACGGAAATACACACGTTGTAACAGAAAGGATCACATTGACTAACAGAATCACAATTAAAGGACCTGACACTAGCGTTTATTACATAAGAGACTAAATTGAAAACACAAATTAAATTAAATTAAGGGATCAAATGGTGCATTAGACCTAAATTAAATAAGTTCAAAGTGATTTTTATAAGGGAGTGACATTCATCAGTCATGGCTACCACCCACTTGAGATATTTCAAAACTGACTTGTGAAATGTAGGATCTAGTTCAATGAAAAGTATAATTTAATGTAATCAGGGTTAAACTATGCCACATTTTCTTCTAGTTTCCATGTCGTGTAAATTAGAATGATGTGTGGAATTAAGCGTATATGACAAACATAACTTAAACAATACTCATAGAGACAAGTTTGGTTATAACATTTTTTTTCTATACAACTATCAACTTGTCTTAACCGGACAGTATAATACAATATTAATTATAGAAATAAGTGCATTATATTCATAAAGGTAGGTTATAAAAAATAACTTCTAATTGATCACGACGTTATCAATAGAATCAAGAATTCTTTGAATGCTAGCAAAATATTCTGTTACATTTTCTCACCTTCTAAGATTGACATCAGTCTGCTGTAGACGTGACTTTGCATTCGTATGTGCAAAGAAGTATTTGTGAATTTCATCCTGTGGTAAAAGGTTTTGAAGATGTTCTTGGAGTTAGGTTTGAGATGAAGACTCACCACCAACTGAGTTGAATCTCCTTCATATGTTTACAGTTTAACAGTTTTAATTCTAGTTTATCTCATTAAATTTTGATGCTCACATTTTTAATTCCATAATTTTAGTAACTTAATTTTAAAATTTTCTATAACTGAATTTTATTAAAATTTTCTGACATGACATTAAATACTTAACACCTTAAATGTAATTTATTATTAAGTTTATAATTAAAAAATATTGATTCATCTTGTTCTTTGAAATTCATCTTCTCTTAATGTAATTTAATCTGAGGTTCGTTTTATTTTTTTCTGAAAATTTTCTCAGAAATGGCATAGGTGAGGTTTAGTTATTGGTGATTTTTTTTACTGCAAAATGACACAAAAAAGTGTTTTTATTTGAAAGTGTCCTTGCAATACAGTTATTTATCAGGACAGATAACACATGAGATAGAAACCTATATGTGTTCTCAGGACACCAACCCCTTTGCCACTCCAATGTGCGAGACCGAAACTTATCTGTCTTGCACAAAAGCATTGCCTAGAATGTAGAGCTATATTATCTCGATTACAGCTCGACCGACTATTTTTCCTTCGTTGAGATCCTGGAATGCTTTGTCAGACTCCTCAAAAGTGTATTTTCTTGAAACAGCATGGCCAAGGTCAAAGATTCCTGTTTCTGCTAATCTAATTAACTTTGGAAGATCTTGTCTAGCCCTGCCTCCATATGAGCCAATTACTTTTATCTGTTCAAATACAAAATTAAGATACTTAGTAAGAATTATAATAAGAATTGAAAACACATGCGCGCGCGCACATATAGAACTCACCTTTCTGCGAACAAGTCTATTTATATCGACCTCTCCTAAAGAACCAGCTTTTGCCAGTCCAATCATCACTGCTTTTCCTCCATCCTTCACACTTTGTGTGCACTGAGCAAATGTCTGTGGTAATCCCAAGGCTTCAACCGCAACGTCAACGCCTTTTCCACCAGTAATTTCCTGTGTCAAATTAGTGCAAACAATTAAACAAATGGTTTTTCAAGTGAAAGAAATAATGCATGATAGTGAGTGGATATACAAGTATCTTTTCAATGGGATCTTCCTTTGCAGAATTTATAGTGTGAGTAGCACCGAGTGTTTTTGCTTTCTCTAGCTTTATATCCTGAACATCAACAGCAATTATATCCGAGGCACCGAATGCTCTAGCAATCTGCAAACAACTGGAATCGATGATAAAGTTAAATGGGAAAACAAGAGTGTTCGACTAGAGCCTATTGCTCCGAAAAATGACATGATCAAAATAGGATATTTACTGATTCCTAAAGGGAAGTCTCACATATTCTATATTTCTCCAAGCTCTCTTTCCATCAAAAGGGATATCAACAATTTACACTTCTCAAATTCTTAATTACATAGTGGTTACCATATGTAAAGTTTTGCATAATATCAGTGTTTTCTTCTCAGAACAGTGACCATTAAAGTAAGCATCATCAAAACAACAAAAATAGGAAGCAAAAAAAAGAAAGTAGCCATCGATAATTGAAAATTTAACAATGTGGTATCCGCTTAGCAATAGATTTAATTACCTAGAACCAACACCCCCAGTTCCAATAACAACAACAGAATCACCTGGGCGCACTTCAGCCGCATGAGCCATAGCACCATAAGCAGTAAAAACAGCACATCCTAGAATTGCAGACTCGGTATATGGCATTGAGCTTGGCAATA